TATAGCTGAACTGGCGTGACGTTGAGGATGAAGTCGATCATTGGCGAACGGTGGCCCAAAGCGAAGTAAGTGAAATGACAATAGTATTGAGTTCATATCATTAACATTGGCTTTGCCGTAGTACTGTGAACCTTATTTCGTCTCCTTGTGCTATTCGACAGCACTCGAGACACCCATTGAATTCTATGTAAGTCTTTTTTTAAGTTTGGACGCTTCAAGTTGACAACAGCTTGATTAAGGTTGGGCTTTCGCCATTGAGTCTACTAACTCTCGAGAAGATGGAGGAGAGACACCGCCAACACTATATTCTATCGGTCGAAGGTTCCTTTGGGGTTCAAGATGGCCCCGTATTGCAAGAACGTATTCCACCATTTCGGGGAAGGATTTTAACGACCTATGGAACCTTCCCCTACCACTCAGTATGTAAACCTTAGATTTATTAATCCCTAATAAGTGTAGCTGATCTGAGGCTATGTATAAAAGGTGGTTCCATTACCAGAGGAAAACGTAAGTAGTTGCTGGGTATACTATGATTACCGTAAAGGTGTTGAACTCTGAAGTTAGCATTTATCAATTGGCTATTTATCGTCAGATGGTGTCACCCTCAACAGTGAAGATAAGGTTTTTATATTTGTAGGCCACAACTCTTCGGAGTTTCAGATTCAAAGATTTCATCGTTACGTTGAGGTAAGAATCTATTTTAGAACTTGATTTTTTACTGATGTTTTTTTTTGTTCCACTACGCCAGCACATGTTACGCGGTAGAGCCTACATTGGCTCAATCCACGCCGATGGTAACAGGATCATGCAAGGTCAAGAAATCATTCCGGGTGCTCCAACTCTCCCCTATCTCAAGGTTTGCAACAAATGAAAAAAAAATCATTGCGGCTTAACCCATTTTCTCATAGTACGACCTAGACGATATAAGAATATTTGGGAAGGCACGTAAGTATAAGAAATCTTTCTCCTTATTATATTCAGCGTATATTAATCTGAAACCTAGAACTCCTCACACTGCCCGAATACCAGAGACTCAAGCAGTCTCCAACACACCTCCGACTCACTGAGCATGTCCATCTGGACCACCTTCCAATACCTGCCTTTGACCCAAATTTCAATAACGGCCAGAATCTAGGAAGGTTGCTGTCTACGGGAGGCAAGGGTGGTCAAGCTAGTGTATGTCATCATTCATTGTCTGTATACAATCTTACCTCATCAGGCTTGTCAGATTAAGATCCTCCTTGACTACGCCCCTGGTACGGCGAAACAATTGGACGATCTGGACATTTTTATCCAAAGTCTGGTTCTCACCAGAATCCCATTAAACTATACCCCTGCCACACACGCTGGTACATCGCATACCCTATCCACGGAGATGCATGCCGCCTTCAAATCAATTTGGGAAGAGGGTAAAAGGCTATATCCGCCAAAATATCCTTTGGAAGACTGTAAGATCTATTTTTCGTTATTGCCAATCTCTCATGATCTTCATCCCGTGCTCAGACATGTACGAAACACCAGTTGCACCTCCACAAGACTACATAAAACTTCTACATGTTTGCCTAAGTTTTCTCTATAATGCTATCTCCAAAAAGGTCGACGGGATTGTTCATACCGCAGTTGCCGAATTTCTTGGGAATTGCGCGCGGTGAT